TCAAGTAACCTGGTGATGCTCAATTGGTTAGAGGACCCCCTGATCAACCCTTTTAACTTTGCACAAAATATATACAAAGTAATATGGAGACAAGGGTACTAAGAATGAGGAGAAGGATCAGAATAGACTTCCTGTAGGAGGTGGTGCTTGAGTTAGATTTTTGCTAAGAGAGCTACACAGTCTAAATGAAAGATAGTGACCCTGACCTTGTTTCTTGCTCAACAGTAATAAAATGAATGCCCAAGAAAATTAATTTTGAAGTTTATAGATTAAAATTATTGATCCAAATTTTTCCTGTGCACAAACTATTTCTTGGAGTCTGCATGAAGTCTTTCAACCCATTAGAGTTGATCCTGGAGGTGATACAAATCTTCATAATTAATTAAGGGAGCAACAGGTTAGACTTATACTTTAGGAAGCATACTTTAGTAGATAAGTTCAGAATGTAGAGACTTGATTCAGAGAAAATAATTAGAAGTCTATTTCAGTAGCCCAGGCAGGAATTGATTAGGTCCTGAGTTAGGGTCGTGGTCATAGGAGTAGAGAAACGATTTCAGATGCAATAGATATTGTGGAGGTAGAAAATATAAGACTTGGCAACTGATTAGATATATGGGGTGAGTGAGAGAGTAATATCATAGCTATAAACTTGGGTGACTAGAAAGATGGTGGTGTCTTCAACAGAAATAGAAAAGTTTGAAAGAGGAATGTATTTGGAAGGGTAAAAAAACAGGAGTATACTTGTACCAATTCAAATCAAACTTGAGCCAGCTAAAAGGAAACCATTGTTAAATCTTCTAGGTGAACATTTACACTTCAGAAATTGACAAATACTACAAATCAGTGATTAGTGTGTTTTCTTGACTGTCTAGACTAAAAAAAGTTATGGTAAAAATGTTATTGATGCAGATTAAATTTAAAAGTACATCACATAATATATTTTTTCTTTTCTTTTACCAGTACAGATAGTTATATTAATTTTGAATATATTGAGTTGGAGATGCCAAATGTGAAAAAAGTAGCTGGAAATTTACAATTAAAGCTCAAGAAAGAGAGACTAGGACCAGATATATAGATCTTGGAGTCATTTGCATAGAGATAATAATTAAGTTTATGGGAATTGATTTGTTTGCCATAAGAAAAAAAAGTGTGTGTATGTGTATTGTGAAAGACAGAAAGGAAGAGAGGGAGGGAAGAACAGAGTTAGAAAGGGAAAGAGACAGAGAGACAGAGACAGAGAGATAAAGAGAGAACAGAGAGGGTTAGAAAGAGAAAGAATAACAGAGAGAGATAGAGACAGAGACAAACAGACAGAATAAAAGAAGGCACAGTACAGTCTTATAGAACACTAACATAACAGAACGTATGTAAAGAAGATGAACCAGCAGAGAAGAATGAGGAGCAAATAGACAGGAAGCAATCAGTATGCCAAAAACCTGAAAGGAGAGAATATAGAGGAGGAAAATACAATCAAAAGTATTAAATGCTGCAGAGAGTTTGAGAAAAATTGAGGCCTGAGAAAAACCCATTATATTTGTCATTTAAGAGATCATTTGTAACTTTGGAGAAAGCAGTTTCAGTTTGGAGATAAAGTCAGAAACAAGATTACAAATGGAGGAGGGAGAAGAGAGAAAGTGGAGACAAGGACTGAAGAGAAAAAATAGGTTTAAGAGAATCAAAAGATAGAAGGTCACAGTCAGATGGAAGAATATCAGAGTTTTGGAACATTGAAAGGGATGAAAGGAAGTAGAGGCACTGAGCATAGACAACTTTTTTTCGAGGAATTTGGCTGAAAATGTGGGGAGAGTACAGGACATATAGCTTCATGCAGGGTCTTGTGAGCCTCTTTTTCATGATAGATGTGTTTCTAGACAAAATAGAGGAGTTAGGAGATAGGAAGAGATTGAAGGTTGGTGAGAAGGAATGATTTGGGAGGAAAATCTGCTGAATAAAATGGTAGGGTGTTCAATCGAGGGTACATTTAAAGGCATGGAGAGAAGAGTCACTTCACTAAGGACTGGAGTAAAAGAGAGAATAAGGAATGATGTAAAGGCATAGAGAGGAGTTGTAGAATGGGATCTTTTTTTTTTTTTAAAATAAGACATAAAATGAGGTTCCTGTCTAACAAGGAAAAAGAAGGAGATGGTATGAGAGAATTGAGGAGGGAAGAGAAGATTTGAAAAAGACTCTGTGGAAAGTGGGGAAAATCAGTTAAAGAAGGGAAAAAAGGATAATCTGTTCTTAATTTTTCCTTTTCACTATTACAAACTTGGAGAAAGATCAACAAAGATGGACATTTTTCAATACGAGGAAGAATAGAGAAAGGGGGACTGAATATGAAATATGAATCTTCATTTTGCATAGTTTTTTGTTTGATATATTTCAAATGTAACATGGTAGTTCCAACTCTGTCCTACTTGTTTGTGTCCCCTTTTGAAATTCTGTCTTTCTTTTACTTGCTTTTATTTTTAATGATCCAGTGACACTCAAATTTCCTTCCTTTTTAAAACATCATTATCGCAATCTCAACTTTCTTCTCCCCTAAATAAAAACCCTGCCTTGTAAAAATATAGTCATACAAAACAAGTGTATACATTAGTTGTGTCTGAAAATTGATGTCTGATTCTACACTTCTTTGATAAGAAATGGGACACATCATCAGTTTTCTATGCCTGTGATTGATCTTTGCATTGATCATAGTTCTTGAATATTTCATAGTTATTTTCCATTGTTGTTGTTATTCAGTGATTATCAGACATGTCTGACTCTTCACGATCCCGTTTGAGATTTTCTTGGCAGAGATGCTGAAGTGGTTTGCCATTTTCTTGTCCAGCTCATTTTACAGATGACAAAACTGAGGCAAACAGGGTTAAGTGACTTTCCCAGGGCCACACAGGTAGTAAATAGCTGAGACAGATTTGAACTCAGAAAGGTAAGACTTCCTGACTCCAGGCCCGGCACTCTAACCACTGTACCATGTAGCTGTTTTTCTTTTTTATGTTATGAACACTGCATGAATTGCTCCACTGACTCTGCTTGCTTCACTCTGCAACAGTTCATAAAAGCCCTACTAGATTTTCATCATTTCTTATTGCAGAAAGATATTCCATTACATTCATATGACATAGTTTGTCCAACCATTCCACAGTCGATGGGCACTTGCTTTGTTTCTAGTTCTTTATTACAACAAAATGATGCTATCATACATGGGTCCTTTCCCTCCAAAAGGGTTGTATGCCATAAATTTGTAGTGGATTCAGTTTGGTTTTGTGATTTCTTCCATTTAGCAGCCCATGAGTTGGAACAGAGAGAGGACAGTTGGAATAATCCAAGGCTGGCATATGCCAAGGTTTCAGCTGGGAGAAGATGAGGGTTTAGGGGAAACAAAAGATTCAAGAGCATAGAACACTGTAGAATTGAACTGGTTAACTATCGAGCTCAGATTCAGAAGGGTAAAAAATGAGGTTAGAGCAGGGATGATAGATTGTGAAAGAGCTGAGGGGAATAAAGACTGCAGGTTCTTTTGAGAACACATAATAGGTTTAAGGGGGACAAAACTTAGGGGGAGAGAGAGAGAATGATTGGAACTTATGGTTTGATAAAAGTACTTTAAAGTTTTTACCCATTGAAGTGTAACATTTTGTGAGTGATGATGAGAGCAAGGATGTGTCCCTCCTTGTCTGTAACTGAGGTTGAGTGGAGGGGTTAGAATGTTTGAGGAGGCATCAACATGATGTTCCCAGTAAAAAGACAAGAGTTAAAGTAGAGAAGAAGACTATAAGGGAAGTACTAAATTCCTTGTGAAAGCAGGGAGAATTCCCTGGGGGGCAATTAAAAATTGCTGCTAGGATATTGATTGGGTAGTAAGTTTGAATGGAATGACATATAGAAGATGTGGAATGGTGGCAGTAAAGAGATATTCTGGAAATGGCATTGGGAAGCAACAAGCATAACAGCTCCTCCAGGATCAGTATGTTGGGGAGTGTTATACAAAGGGCAGTCGGTGGTAGAGAGGTGGCTAGGGCTACAGTTACATTTGGGCAGAGGCAAATCCCTACAAGTGTGAGTAAATGGAAGGAGTCTTACAGGAAGAGAACTAAAATGAAGGTTAATTATGGAACAGAATTCCAGAGGGCACAGTAGAAGAGGGTAAAGTGAGACATGGAATGGGTACAGTTGTGCTGAATCAGGATAAAAGAATGGTAACTAGGGGTTTGGGGAAGGATCTGATTTATATTTAGGTGGTTGGTGATTCACCAACACAGAGAGTAGGAGAAGAAGAGGTGGTATTAGTCATTTTGGTTGATTCCCAGGTGCAAACATTAATGGCCCTCTTTGTTCTCAGTGGTCTCCACATAAAATGACTTTTTCTGGGTTACCCAATTAATTAGCCATGTTCTAGGATTAGAACACAGATCATTTGACTCCCTAATGTTCTTTCTTTTATAAGTATCTTACAAAGTCAACCTCTTTCTGCTGTTTGGAGCTATTTTCACATAGGCCAATAGGGACATCTATCAAGTGGATACCATCGAGAAAAATGCAGTGAAATTATAGAAGCTTCGTTATCAACTTATGAATATAATTAAGGGAAAAGGTATACAAATCATTAAAAATATTAAAGTGCCGTAGTGTACATTAAGGACTCTACAGTATCTCCCTCTCCTCCCCCCAAAACAAACAAATAAACAAACATCCTTTCTTAGTTTTACCAAGCAGCTGATTTTCAAAAGCTATTGTCTCTTCGTTACACTTTTAAAAATGGACAAATCTTTGAAACTAAGTAAATGGCATCTATGATCCTCTCATGCTTTATTTAGTAAATGGCTATGTAAATAAAAGTTTAATAGCTCTTTTGGTAACATACTGTTTTATTTGACCATGGTATATATTGTCATGTGTATGTATATATGTATGTATGCATGTGTATGTATCATTACCAATGAGCACCAAATTACCCACTTGATAGTTCTGATTAATATAATTTTGTTCCATTTTAGGAACTCCCAGATTCCCTGAGGGAACAGACCCATCTGAAAGAATGGCATATAGAAAATACCCTGATTCAGACTATTCCTACTTATATTCAGCTCTTTCAGGCGATGAAGATTCTGGATTTGCCAAAAAACAAAATCACACATCTTCCTGCTGAAATTGGTACGTGATTGAGCTACTGCAATTTGACCTCTTCTTAGGGGTGAGCAGACAATTATATCATTATAGCTTATTTTGGTGGAGGCTCTGCAACCTCTTCCTTTAGATTACTGTTTTCAAAAAGTGGGTAGGCTACTTTTATGGATTTATGTATACCATCCACTTATATCATTATCCCTTATTCAGTTCTCCTTAGTTTATGTGAAATGGTTACATGCTTGTGGTTCAGAGATTTGGTGGCCACACAGATCCCTTCAGTAAACATATCCTCTCTCTATGTTATAGACAGATTTCTGGACTTGGAATCAGGTAGACCTGGAAACAAATCCCATCTTTAATCTTTACTAGCTTTGTGACTATGGACAAATTGTTTATCCTCTCTGAGCCTCTATTACTTCATCTGTAAAATGGGGTTAATAATACTGGTAGTATGTAACTCACTGGGTTGTAGTGAAGCCCAAATAAAATAATTTGCAGTCAATAGTCAAAAAACATTTAGTAAGCATGTACTTTGTGCTAGGCATTGTGCTAAGCGCTCCAGATGCAAATTAATAAAAGGAAGTTCCTGTCCTTAAGAAGCTTACCATCTAATGGGGGAAGACAATACACAAAAGTAAACTGAAAAGTGAGAGGACTCAGGGAAACGGTTTCCATCATTGGGTATGATAGAGAAGTCAAAGAAGTACTAAATGAATGGAGCAGGGTGGGAAATGAGATGTCTGAATCATAAATCACGTTGCACATTTTTAAGTCATGTAAAATGCCAGCTATTATCATTATTTATATGCAACTTTCCAGACTACAAAGTGTTTTTCTTCACAATGATCTTGTGAGATAGATTATTTAAACAAAATTTTAAAAAAAATTTACAAGTTAGTAAACAAGCTAAGTTTTTCCTCACACAAGTTTGTGCAGTTTGTAAGTAAAAGAACTGGGAATAGATCCTGGGCCTTCCAACTCCAACTCCATTGCTGTTTTAATTATAATAAATAATAGCATTACCTATGACACCACATAATAATATTCATTATAGGATTTAAGTTGTAACCAACAAATGTTATGTCTGAGTGTACCTATTTTAATTATCAAGACATAGGCAGTTTATCAGACTGAATTCTTGGTGAGACCAGAATAATGTTGCTCTCATCCTCATTGTACCTGTTGACTGTGGACTCTCTTATACTTATAGTCACGTACTAAGATCTCTGTTGGTCTACAGCGTATGGTGCAACCAAGAGGAAGTGCCAGAACCTTAGCCACCCTGGTATGATTTTTAAGGACTACAATTTTTAACTGAAGCAAAGAGAGTGAAAAATTCTCATCACAGGAGAGTTTGTTCAACATGATAAGGTTTAGAAAACATAGCTTTTGTTTATAGCTTTGATTTTGTTTGAGGAACTACCATTTTGCCTCTTAAATGGGAGCAAACATCCCCAGAAAATAACTGTTTCTTATTTTCCCATGCACTGATTTTTTTTTTCAGTAAAAGAGACTTTGACTTTGATATCAAGGGATGCCTTGATGGGTACAAAAAACCCCATGGAGTGGGCCTTATTAGGGATGATTTGATTGACTTAATCTTTTGTGAACAAAAACCATCCTTTGGCCTGGGTGTATAAAAGAGCACAAATAGAACCGTCAAAGTCATTGTGTGTGATGTGAATTCCTGAATTTCAGTCTTCTGTAGGAATATAAAGAATTCCTAGACTAAAGATTAAGTGCATGATCCTGGATCTGGAGAGGGAAAGGACTGACCCATGATGCAAAGGAGTAAAGACTGGACTTTGCCTTCTCATCCTAATATGAGTTATTTGGATTGTACTTGTCCAGTGGAGAGGGGGTTGCCTTTATAGTTTCCTTTCTGGGATATGGGAATAAATACAAAGGCTTAATAGTGTATTTTTTTTTAATTAAAAGTATTTTGTTTTGTTTATTTAATTTAATTTATTATTTCCTTCTTAGAATTTAATTTAATTTAAATGTTTATTTATTTATTTAATCAGCCAGAATCTTCTTTCTCATTTTCTCACCCCACCATTCCCCCTGACAAAAGAAAACCCATTGCAAATATACATAGGCCATCAAAATAAATTTCTGAAAAAAATTGTCTCATTTTTCCTTCTGAGTCTTTCACTTTCTATCATGAGGTGAGCAACATATTTTATCATTAATCATTTGGAGTCATGGTTGGTTGTTGCTTAATAAGAGATCAGTACAATAGTACTCTATCACATTTATATACAATGACTTGTTTATCCATTCCCCAATCTGTGGCTACCCCCTTAGATTCCCATTCTTTCTTAGCATAGTTTTATAAGATTGGGGTTTATAAAAGTCTGTGGGTGGAAGGTAGAAAGGAGAAGAGAAATATAAAGACCTATTTGTAGACTGTGTCTGCTTTTTAAATATAGAAACATTAAACATCTGAAGGTTACATGCAGAGATGAATTATTTGGCCATGGTCAAAAAAACAGATAAATTCAATTTAATTCAATTCAACAGTTCTTTATTTTCTTTTACTGTTATTTTCTTTCTTTCTAAAAATAGTATTTTATTTTTTCCCCAGTTACATGTCAAGGAAACTTTTAGCATTCATTTACACAAGATTTTGTGTTCCAAATCTTTCTCTCTCCCTCCCCTCTTTTGGAAATGGTAGGCAGTTTGATATAGTTTATATATATATACACTATCATGTAAAAGTATTTCTATATTAGTCACAGTTCGACATTTCTTTTAAGTGCTTACTACATACAAAGCAGTGTGCTAGGTTCATTGTATATAAAGAGAGAAAAAAGTCCTTGCTCTCAAGAAACTTATTTGCATAAAATCAACATACATTCCTTGCCATTTCTATAGTGATAATGGCAGAAAGCAGGGAGTTAGAAAGTACCCCAAACTACTTAGTTCTTAAAATGTTTGCGAACATTAATTTAATTATCAATTCTTATAATATTAATTTTTTCTCTTAAAGGTCAATGAATTCATATGTTGTTGGAGAAATCACATATATATTGCTCATTCTCCCTATAACTGAAAATGGAAGACATAAAGAAAGTAATGCTAAATATAAGGGTGTCTCCTTTGAAAGGCAGGAAAATAAAAAGTAGAGTTGATTTCATCATGAGAATTAGCAAAAATGTAATCTCATGGTATACTTTGTCATTTCATCTTGGAGTGCTTGTGATGAGACTGGGTAAAGAGGCTACCATGAAGATGGTTGGAGATATAAGGATGTCATAGTAGATAGAGTGCTGGTTTTGGAGTCAGGAAGACTTGTATTAGAATCCTGCTCCAGACTCTAACAAGCTGTATGACTGTGAACAATTTGCTTTATCTCCTTCTCAACCTCAATTTCTTCATCTGTAAAATGAAGATAATAATAGTACCACATTCATAGGCTATTTATGAGGATGAAATGAAATGATACATGTAAAGCACTTCATAAACCATAAAGTCCTGTATAAATGACAGATATATTAAAATAATTGTACCTCATGCAACACACAACTGGTGTGGATGATGAAGTGAAGAAATTAGATGGAGAACCTAAGAGCCTGCAAACTAAGTCAATGCATTCATTAATAGTTGATGACTGCATTGAAAAAGTGAGCATAAGAAAGATGACGGGATCAAGAAATGACAGATGTTAAAACCTACTGAGAAGTTTCACATCTGTAAATACTTTCTCCTATAAGAGAATTGGTATATGTGGTATGTAGCAAGTTTGAGCAACATCCACTATAATAAAGTGAGCCACTTCTTAATAGAGAGGAAATCAGTGGTTATTGAAATCACAGTCAGTCAGAAAATCCTAATGTATTGCTGCCAAGTGAGAAACGAGGAGATGTCTGAGCAGAACTCTGTCTTTAAATGGACGTTTGAAATTCATGGCCTCACTTGCCAATCAGAGTTGCAGAGAGTATTGATGAAGTGGAAGACTAGAGTGTATAAAATCTTACAGGATGATGAGGATATCTCAAACAACAAAATTATTCATAGCTAAGACAGATACAGCTGCTATACATTCAAGAAGCTAGCAATAATTAGCACATGTAATATATGGCATATAGTATCATAGGCAATCCCACGTAAGGCATATATACATTGCATGGGCAAACAGTATTATTGTCTTGTTACATGTATGTTTACTTCCCCAGTTTCTTCTACTATGTCATAAATTAGTCATGTTACTAGTTGTTTGCTTCTAGCTCTTTGAGGCTAGAACACTAGGTATAGATCAAACATTTTTGCATCCATGCCAGAACTGGTTGATAAGTAGATCATCATTTTGATCAGAGCTACAGTCATTAATTCCTAAATCTGAACTTATTGAGGAGCCAAATTGGCTTTTAGAATGTTTAATTATTATAGGTTGTCTCTGTATTCTAGGGGTCTTTATGGCCAAGGTTCTGGCTAGAGATTTGCTTCCTTGGCGTTTAGCTTCCCAGTCTTCTCCCAACAGGGATATCATAGGAAAGACTTTTGTATTTCTTCGCAGGGTTTCTTCACTTGGCACAACATCTTCTTCTGAGTTATTATGTGGCTCTGACAGACCTTTTGCAATTGCTGGGTAGTCTCTTTTCCTTCGAGTTTGCTAGATAATCGACCATTCTTTCTTTCCTTCTGTTTATCAGGGAGTCTGATATCTATAGGTAATAGATGATTCCAATCAATGGTCTTCATAGGTCCTAACCATTTTCTGGCACCATTTTACAAACTGGCAAGTTGAATAGTCTCTTAACAACTTGATATAAAGTAAATTTCACTAGATCTACTAATTCCTGTGTTATCTTAACACCCAGTTTTATCAGCAAAGCTCTGTGATTTTGAGGCAATTCTTGCCTGTGTTCCAGACTCTTATAACCCAAAATCAATGGCTGACGCAGCATCTTCTAGGGGCCTGAGAATACCATTCCTGGCTAGCCAGTCCCCAGCAATAACACTAACTGAGTTGACATCAAAGTTAAGACTGGGCAAGAAGTTAAAGAGGTGGAAACTAACAA